TCAAATAGATTATTAAACAGAAAGCAGGGAGGAGAGAGTTGGTTATTCTATCTCACAACTTCCTTTTCTCAACATGTGGAAGATATACCATCACTGGTGGCGCACTGCTCCAACTTCATTTCCTGTGTAAATAACCATCAGTTTCTGTGTAAATAAGCCCTGGGTTCAAAGCAGATTCTTTAAAGGTACATAAATAGAGTTTAGGGTACCTTTTTTTTTTTTAAATGGAGTTGTTTTAAAACCATAGAGGTACACTTTGGACTTCACCCCTCGCAGATTACCTGTTAGCTTCATCCTGTGGGGTCAACTAATCTGGATTTACACTAAATAAAGAGGCCAAGAATGTCTATCCCTGTAGGGTTAAAGCTTGTAAAAATATACAGAGGACGGTATCGCATACACTATATGCTATTTCCATTGGTTTAGTTAAGTGTCTGTTTACTTTTATTTATTCTGATAATATTTTATAGGAGACTTTGTGCATATATGAGAAGACAGTTCATGAATCACACCATTGCCTGTGGAGTATGGTCTAGTCTTTCAGGTCCCAGAGGGCTTGATAAAGAGCCCAGGTCAGAGTGGCAGTTGGGACTGTCTGTTCCACCAACTCCTCTGAATCGATAAAAAGCAGGGGCCCTGGTGTCCTTAGTGTGGTTGTCAGCGCTCTAGGCAGTGTGATGCCGGGTTAGGTGACCTATGCACTGGCAAGGTCAGCCACAGTTATGAAGAGGTTGAGGATTTGCGCCGGGTAAACACAGCGTCTTCTCCCTGAGAATACAAAGCAGGCGTGCCGTGATAACTGTCAGTGAAAAGAGCACACAGAGGAAACAGCAAGGCCAGGTTGGAGGACAGTGAGAGGAGCTGAGACAGAGAGAACAGGGTAGGTTAATAATAGTGAAGACAGAGTAAAAAGAAGCAATGAGGTCGCAAAGGGAAATACTGACTGGTTGTGATGAACGAAAGAGGGCTCTAAATGCCCCTTCCATCTTTTTTGCACAGCCGTTCAATTATATTAATGTACCAACAAAGTTTGGCAGAAGGAATAGAGAAAAGCATGGACAGTATCTCTCTTTACACTAGAGGGGACTCTCATTCTGTCAAACAGATGGATTCCCTATTTTCATTCAGCAAGTAAGACTATCCCTATCCGTTCATCCTGATGTCTGCCTCTGAACACAAGGCCCATTTCCAAAGAGATGATTAATGCATGCAGTAATTAGAGTTTAATTGAAACTGCATTTTCGGATTTTGTCTGAAACCTCACGGCTTGACTGGCTTCAAATGAAAACCAGACTGATTAGTCAGCTGATGTTGTTTAGAGGAAATGCATTTTGTCTCTGTAGGATCCCTAACATTTAGAGAAAATGAAGGAAATACATGCTGGCCTAATTGGACTGATGGGAGTAGAGGTGATGCACTGTCATGGTTTAGTTAATGTGAGGTTGTGGGCCTTTTAGGACTTTGCTGTTGGCTCCAACTGAGGTTCATTAAAAAGTAATAGTGTGGAGGATGAGCAAATAAAAATAGGGTAAAAAATAAATATTAACTAGCTAAATGTTTGTTTTTGGTCTTTTTTACTTTGATGTATAGTTCTAATTTTGCATAAATTATTCTGCAGTGGAGGTTTATTACATATGACAGGTGCAAAGAGGAAATTGCATTTTGAAATAACTTGTAAATAAATATCAAATAAACTCCTACATTTATTTATTTTTTTTCCACTGAATGGTTTCTTTTTTCTTGCTTTCTTTTTTGTCCTTTCTTTCTTTTTTTCTTCTTATTTTTACAGTGTTCTGGTGTTATGTCAGATCAGCATGCCTTGTTCTAATAAACAGGCCCTCACATGCGCAAGAGAGAATTATTCCCACATTGAATTTTAGCAGCAGTGTACCGACCAGCAAAAACACATTTATTTTAACTTTTAAAAAAGAAAATCAGCTTTGATTATACTGTTATTCCTTTGATGCAGAAACGACCTGACATGATTGAAGTTTCCCTGATGTTGAGAGAAGAAACCTCTAAAGCTAAAAACATATTGATCTATATTAATTTGAAATAAGTTACTGTATTTTAGTATTAAAAATCATGTGAGTGGGAATTTAAATTTGATTAGATTATGTTTTAATGTTTAAAATCATAGAAAACATTGGCTGTGGTTTATATTGTGACTCACAATGGCCTGGTGGTTAGGCCATAGGGATGGAATCATGAGGGTGTGAGTTCGAAACCCACTCCCACAGACTGCCACTCTGGGTCTCTGAGCAAGAACCCTTAACACCCGATCCCAAACAGGATGGAATTAATGCAGAGAGTAAATTTCACCATTGTAAGATCAATAAAGTTCAATTTGTTATTTTAAGTGTTTCATTATTCACATATTTTATACATTTATTTTACACAGCCTTATATGGTGAAGTTTAGGCTGTCGCCCAGTTGATGTTTTCTATCTATCCATAGGCGAGGGAGGGCAGATGTCTGAGCAGAAGTTGTAGCATTTCCTCATTTTGTGGCCCAAAGATAACTACACTGTTTTTTTGTTTTTTGTTTTTTATCATGTTATTCTGGATAAAACTGTCTATGATAGTTCCACACAAAGACTTAGGTTTCATAGTTGCCATATCGGATTGGCAGAAGAGCTATTTGTCTTTTGAATCTGCAGCTGCAGTGTGCATCCTGGCTGACCCCTGCTGTTGTTTCACCCAAAGAGAGCTCATCAGCTAGCTGAAGGGAACAGCCTACACCCTCCCCAGCAAAACTAGAATCATGATGTTTTTGCCCATGGAGGTATTGCTTCACTGCCTCTGGGAAAAATACTCCCAGTTGGAGAGAAGTACCCACACCTCCAAATTAAGCATAAAGACTAGATACTACGAGATAAATATAAGTTGTGAGTTTTATTGACTGCAGTTTAAATAAGAAATCCATTTGTCACTGTCAGAAACAAGCCTAGGCAATGTTTTCAATTATATGGTGGAGTAAGATAAAGAAAAAAAAAAAATAGACCAAGCAACAGTTCTTACGTTTTATAACTTTGTGATAAGAAAAATAAGTTATCAATGTATGCAGATGTAGATTTGATTTGACTGATATTTCTTCTGTTTTTCCCAGTTGGATGTCACATAAAGATGCTCAGCTGCTCTCCTTTAGCACAGGGCCTGCCCACAGCATAAGCGAACAAAGCAACTGCTTCAGGCCCAAGGACAGCAAGTGCCCCAAGAGCAATTAATTATTTTGGGGGATTTTTTTTGCACGTATAATAATGTTTATATAAATATATGGGACTGCAACTGTTATTTTAGTTGATCAGGAGTTAATTGCACATAAAATTATATAATTCAGATATGTTTTTACATCAATATTGTTTCAGAAAAATTATTACTTATATAAGAAGTAATAAAATTGGCCTTGGATTCAAAGCTTTTGAATATAGTAATATCAATTTTCCTAATTTTACAAACTAATTATTTTTACCATTTTATATCGGTACCTTTTTTTCTGTTATTTAAGAGCATGCTTGATTTTTTTTTGTTAATATTAGCCTATTGTTTCCATTGTACATATTAATTTATAATTTATAAACCCTTATTTTTTAAAGCTATTTCTTTATTTTTTTATGATTCTTTCTCTACATATTATTTTTGCACATTGCTGCTGTAGTAGGAACCAAAACGTATAAACCAAATGAAAGTTCTACTATAAATAAACTGCATCCTGGTTTAGTTTATTATTTTTAGTTACATTAGATGGTTCATACAAATAATAGACTGTAAACATCACTTCCATAGCTGCAACAAGTTTATAGTTGTTGTGTGAGTTATCTTATCATTCAGCTGTTGATAGCAGGAAAAATCAAATTGTGCTCAGGGCTCCATGGAGGCCTCAATAGAGATTTTGTGGGAAAGATTGGATTATCAGGAATAGCAGAGGATTCATGCTAATTCTGGTCAGCAGTAAAAAGCATTTGATTGCTGTGAAGCCAGAAATTGATTTTTTCTTGTAGCTGACAAAACTTTTTTTTTTTTTTTAAGCAAACATTTTTTTTTTTCAAAAGTTAATTGATGATTCCCTCTGTTTAGTCCTTTGTTTTCTTCTAGGATATACCACTACATTTTTTTATTTTTTTTTGATGAAAATATGTACCATAAACCTGCTTAGACTATTAGGTATGTGGGGTTCAACAAGCTATATAAATAAATTTGTAACTAGAAAAGCACCAAGAAGTTAATTTTTCCCATATTCTGACTTAAACCTATAGCTAAGACTTGCATGATTTGTATCATTACCAAATGTTCAGCTTTCACCTTCTTCATTCAAGGCTCACATTTCTTGAGTTTTTGTCTTCAGTATAATACTTTGGGATATTTTTGAGTCTGATGCTGAGGATGTCAATGGTCACTGCTGCCACTCCCTGATTTCGAAACTGCTTGTTCTGCCAATTAATGTTAGAATAAAGAATACTTTAAAAAAATTGTGCATCCAGATTATGATGTGGCTCATCACCAACATTAAAAGGATTTTTCCTTGGACTGAGGGGCACCTTTGGTAACAATTCCATTAAATTTCCTTTAAATCCGTCCATAACATTTAAAGTTGTCCTGTACACAGACAGACAGACAGACAGACACCCAAACTCTCCTAAAAACATGACCTCATTGATGCAGGTAATAACAGCCAAGGCTGTAGAGTTAAAGTAGGATGGCTAAGAAAACAATTTTGGAATGAAATCCTCCTGACTTCCTTTATATTATCCCCTAGTAACTGAAACACAAACTCCACATGTTATTTTAGGAACAAATAGCTTAAACTTTAGTTTGAAAAACAGTTGTTACTGGTGCAGTTACTGAGAAATGCGTTTAACAATGCATAGAATCGACTACAGTTTTAAAAAACTTTCAAAATATTTTTCAGACATTCTTCACAATGAGACACACAAAAGTTGAGATTCTGTCCAAGTTTTAACTGTCTCTCATTGCTATTCTGCACATCTCTGTACCTCACAGGTGAAGTACTTCGCCTGGGGAGAATCTCTGGCCACATCGTGAATGGTGGCTGGTCATCTTGGAGTTCTTGGTCTCAGTGTAGCAGAGACTGCAGTCGGGGAATTCGGAGCCGAAAGAGGACCTGCAGCAGCCCAGAGCCACGTTATGGGGGTCAGACCTGCCTGGGCCCTGCACAGGAGTTCCAGGAGTGTAACGTCACTCCCTGTCCAGGTAGATCATTTCTAAATATGTCACAGCTTCTCCTAGCAGAATGTGTTTCCGTTTAACTGTTTCATAGCACATTCACATGGTAGCAGAAAGTTGTGGATTTAATTAATTAATTAATTTACTGTTTTTTTTTTTTAATAAACCCCTTGCATTGTAGCTTTTGTTGTACTTAGTAGGCTGTGGTCCTGCAGTTAGATGAACCTCCATCCCAGTCTCAAGTCTTCTACTGCTTACTCTGTATTCAGCTCTATGAGTAAAGCATGATGGTGGCTGCATCATCCTCTGGGGTTGGGGTTCTTCAGATGGAGCAATACTTGCTTTAAGGACTGGTGAAATCAGTAATTGTTTTAATAGTGCCCAGCTCTAAGCCAATTTTTCAATCATATGCTAGAAAGCTATGTAGGAGAAGGACTTTTATTTTCCTCATCAAAGCAACACAACAATGAAAGTGCCTCAACTGCAGAAAAAGAGTTTTGGAGTCATATCTAAGTCATAACTGATTTTGTAGTTAATGGAAGAGTGCTCAGGACAAGAGATGTCCTGATAATTGGATTTTGAGAACCATTTCAAGATGGGATATACAAATATTGCCAAATTAAAAAGTGAAAATTTGAGTCCTACTGATAAAGACTGAACACTTCTTAAACGAAATCCTGCTTTAATACATATTAGGTTAAAGGTGTGAACACTAATGCTACAGAGCTTGGTACAAAAAGTACTTATTTTCCTATTATTATTTCATTTACGTATATATATATATATGTAAGTTACTTTTTTGTAGGCTTTTCAGTGGGAGTGTACATGATAAATGTCATAACTTAACAAAAGTTCAGTTTTTAAATATTCAAACTATTTGAATTAGAGGGGATCCAATAAAGATGGATGGGACGTGTCATTTTCCTTCTACTTCACAAACACTTTGTCTCTATCTTTTACAATAAATACGAATAAAATATATTCAAAATTGTGATTATGATAACAAAAATTTTTGGGAAAAGTTAGAGCAATATGGATACTTGCTCATGGGCACTTTGTACACATTTTGCTATCCTAAATTTAGTACAAAATGGTTACACTAAAAGAAAAAAGTCATGGCAGGCAGAAAGATAAGAACAATTAAAAGAGCCGTAGTCAATAACAAGCCAAATCCTTTCACTCATACAGACTAAAACACATCCCTTCACACTATTTTAAACTACACGGTCTTTCTTCCTCTTGATTAATGGATAAAGGATAACGGTGACAAATGACCTACAGAATCATTCAAACCCACGGACGAAATCAGTTGCAGATAAAAGGTGTGACAGAGACCCCAATTTAGACCAAGAATCAAGGAGACAATCCCTCTGGCTCTCTAGTATGTAATTACTACTGCTGTGTAATTATGTTGCCAGCCAGGGGAAGGCCTTATTCTGTTGTGAAAAGCCTCGAGACAATGTATTTTCTACGCTCTTCTGGCAGAAAAGGACGAGGGGAAGCTTTCTAATTAAAAGAATACTTCATGTGACGAGGGAAGTAAGCTGTCTAAATGGAAATCCAGTACTCAGTTTGGCATTAAGCCCACCTGGTATTCAGCCCAGCGAATGAAGAGGCAAGTGTGATGTTGTCTAAGATGATTATCAATTAAGAATAGTGACAAAAAGAGGGTTTGGTCTCTTGCTGATTAATCCCCACTCATCAAAATTGATCTCTCTTAATAACTGGTTGGAAGCAAATAGTTTAAAATACCCAGAACATCCATCACCACAGTATCTAAACGCTTCAGTGAAAATTGCACTTTTTAGCCCCCCCAGCAGCTTAAAGAGTTGTCGCTCATGGACTAAGCTATTTTTAAGTTTAGAGGAACATTAACAGTGGATCAAATAACAAATTGCTTCATCATGGCAGACGGAAGGGATTCACAGGGGAAAAAGGAGTGTAGAAATGTTTTCAGCATCTCTGCAATCTCTGTAGTAAAGGTAGTACACCTATTCTTGGATGTTGACTCTAATAATACCGCAGTTAAGAGTGTGTTGATGAACAACTCCCTGCTCTTGTCCCCCCCAAAGGGGCCAGCTTAACCCAGCCCAAGTAGCAATGAATACTAATGTGTACTCAATTAGCACCTCTCTGGAAGTGAGATATTATTTTGAGGCTGGCAGACTGTTCTGGTAGAGGAATTGTAATCCTACCCTGGCTAATCCCCTTTATTTTATGTGTTAGTTTGCTTAGAAGGGGGAGGCCAAAGAAAAGGTGTTATGCCTTCCATCCATCTACTATGCAATAATCCACTTATGTGTCGCTCTGCAATGATGACAGAAAACCTTTGGCGACTTCGATTACCGGTTTAGTGCCAGCAGCCATCTTTAGACGGGAGTTTTTGGCTGCTTCAATGGAGATGGATATTTACCTCTACTGAGGCTCATGTGAAAGATTTCCTCATATTTTTACACCCTTTTTCACTTTCTTTTTCTACCTACTCTACTCACTTTAATGCTTTAGTTTGTTTCTTTGTATTGCTGTCATGAATGCATACATCTGTTAAACAGTACTTGTTGGCACAAAGGGATGAAGAGGAATAAGGACTCAATGCTTCATTCGTCTTTGTTAATCACATGGGAGAATTTATAGGCTGTAAAGGCTGTAGAGGTAAAATGCTAACGCTCTTATGACAACATTCAAAATCACCTATAAAGTCAGTCAAATGTATATATACACTCATCAGTGGCCCACTGATTGTCTTATTGGTTCTAAGCTTTTAATGTAGCATTTTAACAAGTCGTTTTTTGTTTCTTCTTTGTTTTTTTTGGAGGGTGCCATGAATATACAACAAAATATTTTCTGAAATATATAGTTGAATGAGTTATTTAATCTCCCAGCTTTAAATTGATCAAACTTTTGGTTTTAGTGGATGGCAGTTGGTCCTGCTGGTCATCATGGTCTAAGTGCTCTGTGACCTGTGGAGGAGGACACTACATGAGGACCAGAACCTGCAATAACCCTCCCCCAGCGTACGGAGGAGACATCTGCCTGGGACTCCATACAGAGGAAGCACTATGCAACACACAGGCTTGTCCAGGTATACACAAGGGCTTTATCTTCTAAGTAAAAAGCAGGTGAGAGTTCAGATGCAGGAACTGCTCTCACCAGGCTTTATCGTTTTTCCTCTCAAAGGGAGCTCATGCATCCCTAATTTACACAAAGTCCTTCAGTGCAGTGTAGGCTCTCATCCAGCAGGCTTTAAGACACTCTGTCATGGCTATTTTCCAGAGAGCTGGTCCAGCTGGTCTGAGTGGTCCCACTGTGACTCCAGCGGCGCCCAGCTGCGAGTGCGTCACTGCAATGTCCTTTTCCCCACTGGTAACCAGTGCTCAGGAAACAGCAGCGAGACGAGGCCCTGCTCTCCTGACTCCAACTTTATACCAGGTGATAACACACATATGCACTCCAGTGCACTCTGTCGGCACTTTATAATGACACTTATGCATGGTTTAACACACAAGTTTAAGGTGCGTACCCACCGCCATCTGATGCTCTTAGCAGTAATTCAGTTCAGTTCCAAGAATCCTGTGATAATTAAGTGCATTATTGATTTCTCTAAGCGAGGAAATAGTATGTTAGAAGTCAGGTTGAGAAATAATTCAGCCTTTTAGGTTGAATAAGAAACATTCTGAGGAAAGACTCCTCATCATAGGATATAATTATATCAGGGGTGTGAACCCTGCAGTTTTAGTATTACAAGGATATTTGGAGCCTTTTTAATTATTGAAAAAAGCTCTGTTTCTTTGAGACTCAAATGAATGATTCCTTTATTATCTTTTTTTTCATGTTTAACAGGGGAGCTTTACTGTTTCCATGACAACCTTATCTTTGGCCTTAAGCAAGTGGGAGTTTTTCTAGTTTTACTTTTATCGTATTTTTAGGGCAATCCTGAATTTATTTTAACAAACAAGGCTAGATGGAGAAAAGAGTTTAGAAAGAAAAACAAGTTATTACTATAAAACTTCTTGAACAAAGAACAGATTAAAACTGACAAATAAAAAACAGCTGATAAAGTGAAACTTTGAAGGATGTCATACAGTTTCTCTCAACTCAAGGCAAATATATTTCAGCTCTAGTATTAGTTCTCAATCATAAAAGAGACACACAAACGGGTTAGGTTGTCTCTATTACAGAATTTATGTCATACCTCAACTCATTTGCAAAGGTACCTTTTCATTGTCATGTGATAGAAATGAGCCCCAGTTCAATGAAAGGTCATTGATTAAATAAATTAGAGAAGGTGGTAAATGGATAGATCAGAAGCTTTTTGATTACTGTCTAGGAGGAAGGAGACAGAGTGTGTTCATAGTCAGGAATAGGGCTAGAGATATTGATTATTTTATTATTTGATTAATTCATTTAGCCATTCTTCTTTGGAGATTGATTAATCTAAAAAAAAAATTAAAGTATCAACTCACAATAACAAGAAGATTTGAACTTTAAAAAATCACAATTTTATTTCACATTATAAAAGCTTTATAACTGGCAAACATTCTAGTCTAAGCTCAGAACATAGGATTTGAATAAGAAAGTATATATTTATGTGTGTCGGAAAGGCTTGAAAATGGCCCTTACTACATGTTATGAGACAGAAAGTGGGAATCTCTGCTTAGAAAAAAAGTAGACAATACAGTAGACAAGATACATTAGTTTAATGTATCATAAATGTTGGATCCTCATGATAAGGTAGGGCTGCAGCCTGCAGCTAATCATTACTGTGCTTATCAACTAATCCATTGTCTATTTTCACCAAAGAATTTATTTTTTCAGAATTTGAACAAGGACAAGCTGAAATTTTCATTTAAACAGTTCTGAATAGAGCATGTTTTATCAATAAGGTTTTTAATCTGAAATGTAAAAAGCATGTTTTTGTACAGATTTGGCTTTACTCTTGCTCTGATTGGATTTTTTTTCTTTTAGCAAATCACATGTTATAGAGCAGGTATAATCCAGTTAATGATTATTAGATTAGGAAATGTGTTTATTTCATTAATCTATCAATCACAATTAATCCAATGAACTGTTACAGCCCTCGCCTGAGATAACATGTCAAATTTGGAAAGATAAAGGGATGAGTGGGATGAAAAGGATTTGGTGGGATAAAAAAAAAGGGTGAGGATGCCAAGAATTGCATAAAAGTATGAAAGAGAAGTAGATGAGTGGGATGCAAAAAACCATAAAGGAGTATGTGAATGATTAGTTGGAGCTCTGAACAAAGGATGGGTGAAATAAAATTTGGGGTTGTAATGAGGGATAAGAAGGATAATTAGCATTAAAAGGAATATAAAGTGGAACGGGTTAAACAAAAAAAGAGGTTATGAAGATGAATAAAGATAATGAAAAGGAATGTAAGACAGGGATAAGGTGGATATAAGGGGAGAAAGAATGAGAAATGAGATACGGATGAACAGATAAGAGGAAGGAAGTATGTGGTTAAGAGTAGAGGACAGGCTAAATGATTATAACAAATGATTAGAAGTGTGATTGAGGCGCAGCCTTTCTACCAGGTATATAGAAGAACATTAAATATTTTAGTGTTAGAATGTTTGTTTTGAGCCTCATTTTATTAATTAATGAAATGGAAGATTAATACATTTAATAAATCATAAAGCATTATCAAAGATTTTTGCATTGAAAAAAATATACATAAATATTTTGAATGAGAGTTGGTGACGCCTTTAAATACGCTAATACAGCATACAATAGGATTATTGGAGAGCAAAAACACTGAGGTATGAACTGAAGAGCATTTTCTCCTTAGGCACATTTTACATTTCTTATATCCAAATTATTGCTATATATGTAAACATATTTTAACAGTTTATAAGTCTCATAATTGAGCTTTTTGGAGAGATTTAGCATAATCTGTTAATAAATTAAACATTTTCTTTGACACTGATTTTTAACCAGTCTTCAGCTGCTGCTTTTCCAAAGTTCGTTCACTATCATAATTTTTTTTTTTTTGTTCTCATTTTGGACACATTTCTATTTGGTGATTTTGTTAGATTTCCTTCCGCCGCCCCAGTTATGTCCCACATTGCAGAAGCACCCAGTAGAACTGGATTCCCAGTAGGAGCTGAGAGCAACCCTGCCGTTTATGAAACCATCTCATTTTTGCTGTCATCTGAACTGCTAGGCTGTTAATTCTCAAAGGAAAATCTGAATGATTCGCAGAGATTGTTTTCTGTTTCAGCCTTTATGCCTTAGTACCTGTTGGTTGGTTATAGGCAGCTAGAGCCACACAATAGTGGTGAATGTAAGTCCTGTGGAGAAATGTAAAACTGAGCAACTGTTTTGTTTGATAAATCTATGCTGGCTGCCTATGACAGAGAGCGGGACAAGTTAAGATGGATAATCAAATTGAATCGGGATGATAAGCTTTATTATATACTGCCCACACCCTCCTGTCTTTCTCACACTGTTAGTATTGACATCGGCTGAGACAGGCATCTCCTTATTGACAGTTGGTAATGTGAGACACAGAAAAGAATTGATCCCTGCACCTCTGCTAAACAAGGATCATTAAAGCTCCTCCTTTCAAGAAAGGATTCTTCGTGCCTCATATTATATATCTGAGACACTGAATAGTTAAATAAGGATGGAGTATTCCTGTTTAGGTGCTTTTACAGTTTTTCAAGAAGCATAACCATCTGTAAGTTTAACATCCTTCTGACGAGGTCATTAATTATGAGAAAGAACAAACATTTGACCGAACCAAATGTTTGTAACCTTTAGGTGTTAATTAATAGGGATATAATCCTCATTTAAAATTTCTACAGAATTATCCATCTGCATTTTTATCACACCATCCATCCCTTTTTATGGGAAAGGTAGTCCATTAGGGTTCATTAGCAACGTCTTGTACTTCATTCCCTTGTAATGGGAACTGATACTTTTCATAAACCACTCAAGGTACAACAGCCTTGATTAGCTTGTGGAGTTTTAACGATTTCCTGCTTCATATTAAGCACAGCTGTCATTTTCAAGCTCACCTACAGTAGAACGAGTCGGTGAAAAAACATGGAAGTATGCATGTGTTAAAGTGTTTTCCTGCTAACCGGCTGTTTTGTTTTTTTTGTTTTATTTTTTTACTGTTTCCACCTTTAGAAGTCTCCATTGCACGGTCCAGTCAGGAGGAGAGGCACTGCGGAGGTAATTTACGTCTGGATGTGTGAGAGTTAGTGTGAATGAAGAGGGCATACAGCATCTGGTATAATGGGATAAAAAAAAAAAGGGTGTTTCGATCAGAAGAGCTTTGTTTACGTTTGAAAGAAATGAGGGAGGTTATATTAAAAATATTTTTGTTATTTTATCCAGAAACTGTATATTCAGTTTTCGGGTTAAGCTGTATTAGGGGACATTATTGGAATTAGGAATTAAGATAATGCATGGAGTGCAATAGAAAGTGTTAATTTATTTAAGTTTGAATGTATTTTATTAGGATTTTATGTGATAGACAAACACTAAACAGTCCAGGATTTTTCAACAGAAGGAAAATTGTTTATATATATATATATATATATATATATATATATATATATATATATATATATATATANACACACACACACACACATTGGTTTTGATGTAAGCATACATAAAGTTCAGTAAAACTTAAAAAAAAATAAATTTAAAAGCAATCCACTGGACTTGGTTTCCAAGAATTGAAGACGTTTCGCTTCCCCTCCAGAAAGCTTTCTTAATTCAAATGTCTGGATCCGCAGTGTGTTTGAGTTTTTATATAGACAAGGCCTTGTATTGCTTGGAAACATGCAAATTGAAACCGACGAGTGGGTCGTTTGGTTCCATTGTTAGCCTGTAATATCTGAAACCTGTCTATGATTCTGAAAGTTAATGGCTGAATAAAGGTAATGTCCCCATCTATTCTAAACTTGAGGTGTTCTGCTAAGAACAATTGGCAATCATGTTTTTTTTCTATATTTGATTAATGAATGAAAACACCCTTAAAGCAGCTTAAAGCTGAAAAGATTATATCTTTGTCATCTTTACAAATTTGTAAAAAAAAAAACCTGAAACCAATTTCCATCCATCTTCTTTCTGTCTTTTAAATACACGCTATTTGGTGTTAATCTATCATGAAAATCTCATTAATTTGTGGTCTTAAACCAAATATATATATATTTCAGGGTTTTTTTTCCCTCTTTTTTATACTAATGTTTTCCTCAGCTTATGTGAAGTATGATGAGGATAGTTGCAGATTACATGATTTTAAAATCAAATACTAGGCTATGTTTTATAAATCTACTTGCTCAGGTTGTTGGGGCTTAACTCGACCTCATTAGAACTTGTATATGGAACCATCGAGCATATCAAAAAAAGCCTTTATTACATATCTGTTAACCTTGGTTGTTTAACTTTTTTTTTAAAGTACATCTAGTAACTTTAGGATTAAGATATGAACATTTTAGGCCTGGATAGGGAGGCTGCAGGTCTCAGGCACCCTCACACTGGCTTTATTCTTTAGCAAAGATTTGTTTATATCTCTTAACAGTCTATATATGTTTAACTTAGCTTATAGGATGTGCTACATTGCCCCTTCATGCTGTACCAATTTGGGATAAAACTTCTGTAGGTTTAGATCTCATAAAATACTGAAGTAAGGTTTTTTTTTAATGGCATACTTTTGAATTAGTATTATTACAGGATGTTGCATATACTATGGATAAAGAAATACGCTCCAGTATAACAGTAAAATCGTACTCTAAGTCTGTTATTACACTAAAGTTAGACTTTATCCAGACTTAGTATAGAGAGAGGACTTTAACTCAGTATGTCAATGGGTTATCTATAATAAATCATTAGTCAGAGAGAAGAAAGGGATATTTTGAATATTAATAGCCCATTTTTTCGATTTTTTTTTTTAGTGTTCGAGGGTCTGTGTTACACACACTGTGTTTTTTTTAATATTTTAGAATTAGCCCCAGCCCTATTCTTACGCCTTCCACTTTCCCCTCTCAGATTTCAACCTATTCCACATGATCGCTGTGGGCCTCAGCAGCTCGATCCTTGGCTGCCTGGTCACCCTGCTCGTCTACTCCTACTGCCAGCATTACCAGCAGCAGTCTCATGATGCCACCGTCATCCACCCCATCTCTGCCGCACCGCTCAATACCAGCATCACCAACCACATCAACAAGCTGGACAAATATGACACGGTGGAAGCCATTAAGGTCTGTAAATGGATACTTTCTTCATTCACTGGGGGTTAAGAGTTTGATGAATGTTCATGCAAAGATCAGTTCGGTCCATTCGTTGGATATCACACAGCTCCTTTGGTAAATGAGCATAACTTATTCTCCCGGTGTCACATATTGAACACTTTTCTTACCTCATGACTGTCACTCTCACACACCCTCCTGTCGCTCACTGATACTCGTCACAGGTAGGCAGTTGTACATTCTTCGTCTCTGTGTTTGTCTCAATGTGCGATTGTGCTTTGTTTCCTTGGCGCTGCACTGCTTTCTCCTAAAATCCTAACAATTTGCTATCTGATTTTATATATAATCAGTAAGGGTGTCCTCTGGCTTGAGCAGCTTTTTGGGTTATGATTGCATCCTAAAGTGCAGATAGTCAGATGTATCAGAGTCAGCTGAAGTGGTCCAGTTAGTCTCCTGGCACATATTGCCTCTTATCCACTGACACATTGAGGCTGTCTGGCCAAAATGGGATGGTGATTAGCACTACTCCACAGACACTCTTTGCTCTAGCTAGGGTTTCATCTGTGATACAGCAGTGAAGTGCCTAAACCGTAGGCACAGTTTATACCCACACAATTGGTTTTAGAGGAAATAAATCTAAAACCTTAGTAAAAATACTGTAGTTAATCAGGTAAAACAATTAGAAAAGAATAAATTAGCATGTATTTTTAATACACATAGACATAAGAAAAACAGAAACATGTGTCTTTGAATTTGCCATTTTAACTGCAATGAATGCATTCTATTTTAATATTTCATTTTGCAGTAAAGACTTTAAATTTTTTTTTAAAGTAGTAGCAATTTTAATCTTTTAACATACAAGTTCACAGCTAAAGCAAAAAAACAATTATCTAAAAAGCGAAACAGAGCAAGGATATGTGATGATTTCCCGTTTCATGCAAATAGAACACGTGGAAACCTTTTATAGGATCACTGTATTGTCTATCAGGTATAAACTTACTTGATGATTTATCACCTAGAAAAGACAAGCTTTAGTTTCCACCTTCTGCTTCATCTTAATTAACTAACATTAAGACCTTTATTTAAACACTTTTATGTTAACCTTTTAAATCATAGAATAGAAAATGAATACTTCAATTATAATTTGGGTTGAGGGGAATGATAAACAGAAACAATGAACCTCATCCAGTAATAAATGATTTTAAATAAGGGGTTGAAAGTAAGCATAAGGTGCCTGCAAAACTTTTTTGGTCTTTGCTTTTATTGAAATCAGGCGATTTACTTAATGTACAGAAAAGAAAAAAATTAATACTACTTCTAAAAAAAATATGCCAACTTTGCATCCTACATATATCTGGAGGCTTCATATTCTCAGTGGAAGTCATCAATATCAGCCGCATTAGCAAAGTAAACAAATCGGATCTCTGTTTGCTAAAGAACTTTCCATTTATAAATATGTTTTTTATCCATATTAAAGCTCGAGCAGCTCCTTTAGCTTAGAGCAAACTTTTGTGAGCGTAATTTCTTCAAGGGTTTGGAGATGGCATTCATTTGTCATACAATTAGAGTCAGGAGCATCAAGCATAATTCGGTTTGCGGTTGCAGATAGAGGCAGATATGAATGTTGACAGTCGGTGTGGAAATACAAAGGAGGCCGTATGACAAGTGAGTAATGAGTCATTTTCCAAATGCACATTCTGCCTCCAACTCTCAATCAGAGAGCCTAAATCACCTTATGTCGCAGTGAAGTTTCAACTAATAAGTCTGAAAAAGCATAATATGCATCCTTTTAGCTACTGTATGAGTAAATGATGAACAAAAGATTTAGTTCGGAGTTTTGATTCGAGGCATATTAGTTAAGGATTTAGTTTTTTTATGCATTCAGTTTTACATCAGTTATAATGGGCAACATTTGCTAAATAGATTCTCTTTTAACCCGTCAGTCCACAGAATATTTTCTGAAGAGTATAAGGCATTAACAAGATTTTGTTTCGTTAATTGGGTTTTTGTGGTGTTTTTGGTCAGTATAGGTACGGTAATCCTCACTGAACCTTTTCATGATTGATTGATTGATTGATTGACTTTATTGATCTC